TGCGCATTAATTCGGCCGGATTAAATATCGAAATTTCTTTCATTTTTTTTTTTTTTAAGAAAAAAAAAAAACAAAACGTTTACTACACCCGCAATCGAATTTTCTTAAAAACGGACTCTATCCGTCTCGTTTGTTTTGTATAAAATCAATAGAGACGAGACGTTTTAATAATACAGGAGGTTGAATGTGTCGATTTATGCGTACGAAAATTTCGCGTAAAACGATGTTAAATTTGATTTTAATGGATATCGCGTTAAATTATTACAAATTTACATTCCGATAAATAGTAATGAATAAACTAAAATTGCATTGTTAAGTCGGACAAATTTATAGAAATATTAACAAAAGATATACCTCTTTGTAATTATTGTTACAGTCACATTTATCTATCGGTTTTTTATCATGCTTCTCAATTCGTCGCACCGAATCGCCAAAGTCTTTTAGATTCTGAGTGTAGCGAAGTTTTTTACAAAGACGTTTAATTATTTTATTTTTTTTTTTTTATGTGAACACTTTTTCTACCACAACGCTTACTCCGACGTATACGACGTAGCTCCTTTTCTGAATGTAAATTTTAACCGTATGTTACTTTTGGTAGGTCATTTTTTTTATTTTCCAAGCGATTTTCATAATATCTGGGAAAAACAATGTAAAACTTAAGGAAACGGGAAATTTACAAAAATAATACTTTTATTATTATTTCAATTTTGTTATTTATTGTAAGTCAGTTAAAAATATCTGTAGAGACCCGAAATATGAACCGGCAATTTATATTTGCCTTTTCTAGACGAGGTATGATTTTCAAAATATTTGAGCCATTTTTTTAGCTATTTAGATATATTTTAATTTTGAGAGTTTTGAACTTAATTTTTAACCGATAGGTACAATCGGTGTTAAAATTGTGAGATTTAACAGAAATGTTTGAAAATTTAATAAGAGGTTCAAAGTGTTACTTTGTGGTAGAAAAAATAAAAATTGAGTTTAATGTAGTTTTCTTTTTTTATAAAGGAATTTTTATATCAAATGTTGACGAAAATCGTTTGAGTAAAAAATTATGTGGAACAAATCTAATTTTTCAATTTTTATTTTTATTTTTTTTTAAACATATATATTGCCGATTTAAGAACGATGGTGAAGTCAAAGTTGAGTGGGCTGACCAAGTTTCGAAACTGTAGCTTTTTGAAGTTTTAATATTATATGTTATGTTAAATAACTCTGTATTGTGTACCTAGAGACCCAGATCGCTCGGAATATTTTAATTGTAAAAACCCCTCGATTTGTGGTGCAAAATTTTCTACCCGAAGTCTTGCTCTGATATATCAAGTGTAGCTTATTTTTTGAAAGGAGATTTTGCTTCCATGATAATTTAAAGAGGTCATTTTTTGATTTTTCAAGCGGTTTTCATAATATCTGGGAAAAATCGTGAAAAACGGGAAAATGTACGAAATTTATTTGTAAAATATTACGATTTTTTTTTCTTTGAACAACTTTACTATGTGAAAATGTTTAAAATGTGAAAACTGGGAAAAACACGGAAAAATCAGAAAAAAACAGGAAAATCGGTACATTACTAAACAAATATTATTATGGAAAATATATAAGGCTTATTTAATTATTTTATCATAATATAACATATATTTTAAATTTTGTTGAAAAAGCATCACTAACTGCGCTCAGAGACGTTTTTACGTTAGCGATGGCTCATGGGTACACATTAAATTACCTATAACAGTGGCTGCACCCGTCTCCATTATCCTAGGACGTCTTTCTTTTTTTTTATTGTTTTCAAAATGTGAACTTTTAATCGTGTTTCAACTGGTACGATTACTATTTGAGTACTGTTTTTACGGGATCAATTGTATTTATTTTTTATTAATTCGTTTTATCGACGGGTCGACGGAAATCGAAAATCCAAACGCCGAAATCTATTTCAACCAATACTCCGTTCGTTTATAGAATTTTTAATATGGGTTGTCCTTTAAACATTGAAAATAGGCGGGAAGTCGTATCACCACCACCGAAAATAATGGTAATGTAACGTCTCGATCCGCTTGTCGCTTTTAAATACTGAAGAAAATACCCAATTAAATCCGAGTCCACAGGGCTGATATATTATTTCGTATTGCTTACTGTGGGCATGGCCGATACGTTGTAGGCGACGGCTAGGTTTTCTATGTAATATAATAATTTAACACGAGTTAAAAATTTTATCGGGTGGGATTTATTTTTGTATTTTTTCGACGATAAAAGACGAAACGAAATTTGAATAATAACGTTTTACGAAATGGCAACAATAAAGAAAGTAGGTGAAAAAAAAAAAATAACCGTAGGTACTACATAACACTATTATTATAATAATATACTTAATATCATCCCGCTAGTAGAAAAAAAAACCGATTTCGTTTCCACGAAACGTATATTTTTTTATAATAAAGTAAAATATTATGGTAGGTGTGGATGCCCACGTAAAATATGTTTTTGTATACGCGACCTCGTTTCACTGTTTATACCCGCGAGGTCCGCGAGGAAAACGAGTTTCGCCGTCAAATGTCTCGGAAAAACGCGGTAAATGGTTTTTTTTTTTTTTTAAATAAATTCCCTTCGTGAAATCTGCATTTCAGGACAGGTGGGTGGAAAAAAAATGTAACGCGTTTATACATTTATTATAATATTTTTATACCGATTTGTACGACGTGCGATTTTTTATCATTGTAAAAACCATAGGTACCTATGTCAAATGTCGAGTCAACGGAACAGGTACGTGATAATAGTTAACACGTACGCGTGTGAATTTTATCGAAACAAAAAAAAAAAAAAAATGGTTTTAATGAATATCGACAGTATTATTAATCATTATTGTCGTAATCGACAATAATCGACAGTAATATAATATAATATTTTTGAAGTTACGAATTTCGAATATATTTCATTTTATTATTATTGTTACGGGTGTGGGTGGTAGGTATATAGGATTAAATTTAAAATGTTAACGATATTTAACGGATACACGCGAAAAATGTGTAATTAATGCCAAAAAAGAAAAAAAAAACGGACATACTTCGCACGATGGGGGTGGGCCACTGTTAAATGTGAGAAATTGGGAGGTAGAGGGAAAATTCAATGTATATCTGTCACAATGATTAACCGTTGCTATAACCAAAAACGATTCTCTACGGAGTTCAGTTGATAATGATGTTTTAACAACAATATACATATGTGGCATATTATTGTAGAATAATTAAAAATTCATCATAATATACGTTCTTTAATAATATTTGTTTAATATTTTACCTATTTCCCCGGTTTTTCCCACTTGTTATGAAAATCAAAAAATCACCTCCTTAAAGTACCATCCCAGTTAGATTTTTTTTCAGAAAATGTGCTATCATTGTAAATTGGAGAAAATTGTTCACTGATAAAAAAAAAATAAATAAACATCATTGTAAAACCAATATGGTACTCACTTCACTCGGAATCTAAAAAAAGCAGAATCTCTGTTTTCATGGAGAATATGTTAAGTCGATATTTTTTTCAATATTGAAAATGTTATAATTCAATGTACATTTTGGAAAAAGTCATGATTTTTCTTTGGGTGATAGTTATGCTATGCATACCGTAATGACTTCAACTATGATGCACCTTTCAAATGTTGCACGTGAGAAAATTTAAGTCAACTTTACACGTATTATATTACGTTTCCTGAACTGCGTGTCGATTGAGTGAAGTTACTGACAAAATTATTTAAATCAACTTGCATAATTAATTTAATGACTTTTCATTTTAGTTTTTAAGTCTATAAAACAACGGCCGAATTTTGAACTCTAAAATTATGTTAAACAATACAGAACAACATAAATGTGTAGTGTCTTACAGTACTACAATTATGGCGAAACGTTAAAACGCGGATTTGCGTTTTCAATTCAAGTTTATTTTTGCTCTACTGAATCGCTCTGAAACATTGGCTTAACACCCTTTTCACACGCACCAGCGATTTGTCTATCATAATATTATTCTTTGAGTACTCGTAAGCAATAAATTGTCATTGTATTCGTTAAATATATAGACAGTAAGTTAGATAAATGAGGTATTTGCTTTTCCTTCGCTACTTGTTTGAAACGAAGATTTTTTCGGCTTATTATAACAAAACGATATTCGTGTAAAGTGTAATAAAATATGTAGGTACTTACGTGAATTTATTTTGATTTTTTTGAGCCGAGTTTCGATTGTATATAATTTCATGAGATATTTTAAATATGTTTCAAGTTGTTTAATAAATGTGTGTGTGTGTGTGTGTAAGCGACGATCACCTGTATGAAAAAAATACAACTTTAACGATGAAATAGCTATAGACAGAGTTAAATATTAACGATAACACGAGAATTGTATAGGCTATAAAAGCATAACTCACACTTTAAAAAAAAAAAAATGACAAACGAATTTGCCACTGTTTAAAATAGGGAATTTAACGGTGAATCCAATTCTGTGATCGGTTCGTATCAAAACGCATAAGAAAGAGTCTAAATTTAACTCGGGAAGTAGCGATTTGTGTTAAAATAACTGAAGCCCGATTTGACCCGTGTCAAAAAGCATACATACGATCCATTTGATTACTAAGTGGACCGAAGAGTTATAAACAACTTTTCCACCAGATTTATAACGAATAATGTGTATGTTTAATGCACTTGTAATTATTTTTCCACAATATGATATATATATACATCAATATATATTGTTGACAAAGCAAAACTATCAACTGAAATCCGCTCAGAATCATTTTTCGTTAGCAATGGTAAATCGTTGCTTACAGATATACATTAAATTCCAGTCCGTATCCTACCTTCCCAACATTCCGCCTAAACAGTAACCCACCCACATTCGAAGCATGTCAGTCTCTCTTTTTTTTTTTAATTTTCTAAAAACCGCGATTTTCGGAACATGAAAGTTTTGATTTTAGCCTTTATCGTGTTATTATTATGTTTTCGTTTACTCCGTTCTCGTAGATGACCGGTAAACTGCTATCACTATTGTTATCACATCACGAGCTGATCATCTACACCGTGATCACGATATTGTTGGCTTCGTGGTTCCACTGGCGATGGAAACACAGACAGTTCTTGGATATGGCCGACAAACTGCCGGGGCCGACGTCGTATCCGTTGATCGGCACGACTTCCATGTTCACGCACACGTACGACGGTAAGGACCACGCGGTAGCTCGATTTTTTTTTTCCACAGCACGCGTTTTCATGTAATCGAATTCGTGTTGTTTGCCGCAGAGACCATTGAGAAACTCAAAGAGAATGCCGAACGGTACAATTACGAGCCAGTGGGCACGTGGATAGGTCCGATCCATTACGTTAGCGTCGTCAAGCCCGAAGACATACAGGTAATACTATGAACGATTATTTAATTCGAATTCACGTAACACATTGATATCGGGGCACCGCCGAGAAGACTGCCGTTGTGCTGAGGCCCGGGAATTCTATTATTTAACACGAAATCTATTCGATCGGTACTAATTTCAAAAAAAAAAAACATAATATTCAATTGTTTGACACGTTCCGGGTAGAAAATTCTATTATCGGTAAAAATTTAGTACAACGCCGGGTACCGGGTAGGAGTCGAGTCCTAAACTTGGCGTCGAGTAATTATTGCCGGGCGCCCGAAACGTCCGGAGTTAATATATTGCATCGTGTCGCGGTGGAAACGGTCAAACGAGAATCCAAAAACAATTCGAACGGACGAGATTTTATTTTTAACGAGTGACCGTGGGGACACTAAACATTTTTCATTCTGATAGAAAACAAAGAGAACCAAACACGGAACTCTGCGTAGATAATTATTATTTTCTTATAATAAAGTTAATTCAGCGGTGAGGGGCTAACGTAACCCCTCCGTTGGGTGTACCACAGTTGAATGCTGTATAACGATCGTATGAATTGTACAACCATTTCGTTTTCCGTGACACGTTTATTTTTCTTGTAATACTGTCAAAATAAATATATTCCAAAAAAAAAAAACAAAAGGTTCACCATAAAAACTATACCCCGTATACGTTTGTGAAAATATTGCGACAATTTATAAGAAAAAAAATATCGCTGCTAGACGTGTGAAACCAAACGGCACGTATAGTACGTTATTTTTTTTTTTGGAATATCGACTGTAATATATTTAATTTTTTTACGGGGTACTCCTCATACATCAGTGATTTTATTTTCTCGGAGGATTTTAATAAGCTTTATTTTCACATTATGTTCAATCCCTTACTCCCTTATTAGTTATACGGCTTTAATGAGTATATACTATTATCCTTAAATAGGACCCTCACCTCCTCTTTAAACACTGATTCCAATGGAGAATATTTTCCTACACATTTTCATATGCATAACTGCATAACGATGCAGATATCGGGTTTACCGTTAACGAGTTTAATATAACAGTTTAAAGGTCATTAGATGCAGAATGCATAGAGAATGGTTTGTCGATATTTATCATCTAAGAATGGATATGAAGTGTATTATTCCAGTTTGAAAATCAAAAGCGCATACTCGTTTAAGGTATATAGAGTAAGGGTATATATTTATACGGGAATATCAAACTATGATTAAAACCATTTGGCAACTATACTGGGACAGCATTTTAACTCATAGATCGATTTTCAGGTCGCAAAGCCATTTTATAGTTCCGTAATGTAATTTGTTAACTCCAGAAATACTACCTTCATATGAGTGGATCGGACAGTCTACTATTATGTGGCTCATAGTCTGCTGTGGACTTCCACAATCGCATATATACTTCACATGTATACTTCAAAGTCGCTTTAATGCTTCTACAAGCTTTAAACCAGCTGGGGTAAAACTTGTAACTCAAAACTAATAAGGCAGCTATTTGGGATTGATTTTAAGGTATCTGATACAAGTCTCATAGTGGGATCTAACTAGATTTGGAAATAAAGTTTAAAATTTAAATCTTAAACGATTTCACAATGATTGAAAAAAAAAATCAAGTTTATTGAGCACAATCGGCGTTTCGTGTTAGACAGATTACCCCGTATTCGTAACGCGGTTATTTCGACTAATATTTTGTTTTGAAAATTCGTTGTTTGTCGAACAGATATTATTTTATTTATGTTGGTTTTTGTTAAATTTAGATTTGTATATTCCGCAGCGTATACATTTGTTCGTATAAGAACGCGCTATATTCTGCAGCTATTAAGGTTGTAAAAGTGCGACCCTCTGGGATTCAAAACTTTACGCCTTACTAAATGAAAGCACGGTAGTGTTTTGAACTACCTAAGCAAATTGGATTTACGATAAATAAATAATCTAGGTTTTCAATTTTTCATTCGTTTTTACAACAGTCACTGGAAAACTCTAATAATAGTAAAAAAATTATTGTGATAAGTCATTACCCGTTATTCCATACGTTCTGCTCGCGGGTACGGTGTGTAGAAATGTGTTATACAGAGTGATAAACTTGATTGCGAACCAACGATTTTCCACGAAACCGTGTTTAAAAGTTTAAATTCGAAAAATCAAATGTAAAGTGGGTATGAATTTGTTGAGTCTTCGTGATGGACATTTAAAATGATTGGAATTAACATAAATAATTATAAAAAGACGACAATAAAATGACGTACACATTGATGGTTATTTATATAATAACGTAAAATATAATCATATAATATGATATTTCAATCACGATAATGGAAAATATTGTCCGAAACGTACCAATAATTCGATACGACGGAAATCCGAATTGTCCCGCTGTTGCCATTTGCTGGACAATGTGGTCATCGTATAACAATAATGTAATAAAAAATGACGGTGTATGATAAAATAATTGTTTTTTTTTTTTTTTTGTTTTTAAAAATTGTAGACGTAATATTATTGTTTGTGTGACGATGTCGATATTAATCATATGGTTTTAGATCGTTTTGAACAATTCCCGGGCCCTGGAAAAAGGTCAGTTGTACTGGTTCCTAAAGAGTTTGCTCGGCGAAGGATTGTTAACGGCCTCAGGTATTTATAACTGTATTTAAATAATCGAAAAAATCCGAGTGTTTTACGGGGTAAGTATTCGACCTGTTAAATAATAAACCACCGCAGCGGTATTAGAGAGGGGTGATTTTTTTTTTTTTTTTTGGTTCCAATGGACCCAAGACGCCGTATTTTTCCACGTTATCCGTATACAAGTTTAACGTGATTAAAGGTTAAGGGGAGATAAAGAATTGTCGTCTCTTGATTTTTTAATGCTATTATTTTTTTATTAAGATTAATACGATTTATCTCTGAGAAATGAGAAATTGTGGATGACGCATTTTGTAAAATTAGATTTAGCCGAATCAAGCGGGGCAAAGTGAGATACGGCAACATAAAATTTACCGTTAAGGATATTATACAGAGTGATTTATATAAAATTAACATGCATAAACTGTTTTAACTTTTTTCGGAATTTTTTTATTAGAACATAGAAAAAATGATTAGCTCTAAAATATTATAACGTTTTTTTTTTTTTGTCACCGTTATTTTAAGTGGTTCAAATGGCAACGTGTATTAAAAATCCTATAAATAGACGGTAAATTAGCTCAACACATTTTTAATTACCGTTAAGACGAGATATCCTACTTTTAAATTTCGGTGGAGGGGAGAGGTAGAGTAGTGGTGCATAATTTATGAGGTTGCACGGCTCGCGGCGTTTTTATAGTTTTCCCACCAATCTCAGCTCACCGAAACTTAAAAGTGAAATATCTCGTCAACGGGTTAGAAATGTTAATTTATTATTCAAAGTTCAATTTAATTACAGATGTCCTTCACAATTGACACTGTAACAAACTTACTATGTTGTTAATAAACAATTTAAAAAATAGGGTTTATGGTTATTAAAATAATTACCCATCGTTCGTGTTCTCCCGGTAAATGACGTCTAATACGTTCCTCCGCAGTTCCATTCCCGAGATAAATCAAACAAAATCAAAGGAACGAGTTTCCTCGAATCCATCTCTTCCGTGCGTTGAATATTTAACCTCACCCGTTTATAGAATTACCTGTCTAACGGTCTTCTTCTCCTTCTCCTTTCCCTTCATCCCAACCATTTAGGGCCAGCCACTCTCGTTACAAATTTCCACTTGACCCGACTACTCCTACTACGCATACACTGATTGTTCTTGTAACATTCTCAATCGCATCCAACCGCCTCTTTTTGGTCTACCTCTCTTACTTTTAGTTTCATTATTATTCATAATGCTTAAGATTTTTCCGTGACCCGTGACATATCCAAATCATCTCAATCTATTTTATCTAATTTTGTCTACTATCGAAGTCACACTTAAGCTACCTTTTAAACAATCCTTTGTTTGTTCTATCTTCTCTCTTCTCTCCATAACTTTTTTACCTTTGCATTACTCAGCGTTGTTATGTTTTTCTGTCTACCACCTGATAATCTGGACCATAGAACATAGTTAGTCTTATCACATTTTTATAGAACTTGACTTTAAGTCTCATTGGAATATTCTTGTTACATTAAACACCAAACGGTTCGTTCCTCTGTCCACGCCTATATTCACGCTTCATCCTATATTTCATACATCAGCGCGAAAGCCACCGTTTTTTTGTAAAAAAAACATCTTGGGTACTCTTAAAACGCTCAACATCGCGCTTTTTATATCACCGCTTATTGTTGTTAGCAGTCTTGTCTTGTTCCTTCAAACTCGTACTGTTTTACTACTATACTCATCCTAGGTACCTTTTCACAAAGCGCTGCTCTCCATTCTCCGAGCCTGTCGTTAATTCGGTTCCTGAGTCACGACCACGTTTATCGCCTCGCACGACTGACAGGGTCGGTACCGCGGCAGCATTATTGTAAATCAGCTTCTACAGGCTAAGTATTTTCGTAGTCACCATTCATGTCTGTCACATGCCGTTCTCTTAATTTGTTGATAAGAGGCGAAACCCGTCCAACGAAAGATTTCTTCACAGAAAGATTTACACGATCTTCTTCTGAGTTTTTTTTATCATTTATTTTCCTTAATGGTAATATATCGTATAACATGATGAATTCGACGCAAACGCTCGGTTCGCTAAAAATCGTCAGAGCCGTAAAACCCGCAGTCCCCTTGTTTATCGGTCTTTGTTGATATTTTTATTATTATTGTGTATATATAGATATATTATTGTGTACGCCGTGGCTTTTATCTCTCCCCCGGCGGGAAAAAATGCCACGATGATTTTACCCCGACGTGCCGGCCTTTATTATCTCCTCAAATTCTGCGTTGCACGTTATTGTAATAATATCGATGGGACATAATTACGCTCATTTCTCATGGCACGTGCGATTTGTCCGGAAACGAAAAGAAAATAATATTGTTTAAACGATAAATTCGCGGGTTTATCGAGCCGTCAATCGCGTAAACGTTTTGCGTTCGTCACGGGATAATGTCTTGCAGCGTTGCATTAATAAAAAGGCATCGGCGAACTTATGCCGGGTTGCATAAAAATATACATAACCGATATACCGATAACCGATAACCTATCGGTTCCGTAAATTTTTGAGCTGTTATCACACATATAGTTATGAAATCGATAAGTAGTTAAGCCGTTTTCGGTTCAGTAAAATTTGCAGAGATGTTAAAGCTTATCGTTTTATGGAATTATAATGTATAATTGATATGGATAAAATATTTATACTGATAGCTGAGCAAGTAGTTGAAACCATAGATGACAAATACAATTAAAGAAATACTTATGAGGAACGAAATCTATTCGACACCTAATTATAATTTTACAGAACCGATGTATTATGGAACCAACAGTTTACAGAACAGTTTCTATGCAATCCGGCATTATTGCTACAGACCCGTCGCAATAATATTATTTTATTATATGGGGCGTGACCGCGGGATTCGACGGTTTCCTGTAAGGGCTCAGTGGTGTACCTAGGCCTTTCTTACGGGGGAGCGAAATGTGTTTTCACCCACTGTTACGCCGGGTCACATAAATGACCACTAACTATTAATCGAACCGATAACATAGTAATCGGTTCGATTAAGTATTTGGCTTATACAAAAACGATTTTTATCGTTTATCGATTCAACAAAATAATATCCCTTATCGTTTTGATAAGTCGAAGGTTCGATTTTGGTTCGATGAGTACGGAAAAATAGTCTCATGAATTTTTTGAACTGATATTACAATTGGTGGATTTCTGATCTTTATAGATCTTTGTATTCACGATAACAACTGAATATTATCACTGTAAATTATAACTGTTCACCATAGAAGGTATAGGTATAGGTATACTTGCGTTATATAATAGTACATGCCTTTATCAGTACAATAAAGTTATTTATCCGTTGGTCTATTGATACTATAACACGGGTCGTCGAACTGATTTAATAAATTGTTTATGCAATCCGCGGCATTAAAATAGAAATTTCATAAATAAAATAACGCTATGGCTGTTTTATTAATAGACCGGAGATGGGGCTTTTTTATATTTGTAATAAATATAAAACATTTTAATAAATGAGAAATTTGTATTCAATTAAACATAACATTAGTATAATGCAACTCTGGCTTTTTATATGAGAGAATCTTTCATCGATATCATCCGCCGGTATACTTATTTTCTGGTAAATTCGCCAGAGTGCAAGTCCGCATAAGCGATCCAGGATCATTTATTGTATAACACTAGAAATCGACGATAAGAGCCGAACGGTCGAACCACAGAATAGATTAAAGCAGAAAGGACACTTTCAATGTAAACAAAAACGTGGCGGCCACTTTGCCATTCGTGATTTTTATCAATTTACAATTATCAGTTAAAATACTGATTTTTCGTTTCATGAGTATTAAGTTGCTGTTTAACATTTAATATGAGTTTTAACTTTTAAACTCAAATAAAATTGCATTAAATTGTGTAATTTATTTATTTATGTAACTTACTCAATCTTCACCTTTTTATTTATTTAATTCCTAATCATTCCTATATGGTTACTATTAAAATTAAAAATGTTAAGACGAATAATCCAAGTTATTACTAATTGAATCTGTAAATTCTTGGATACAAATTGTGTTTTACATTTTGTTTTTTTGGCAATATAATATTATAAATTACACAATTTAATTCAAACGCAAAATCAAATAAAATTATTTTCAAAATTAAATGATAAACAAAAACTCATGAAACACGAAAAATCATTATTTGTTTGACAGACAATACTAAATTGGTAACAAACACAAGTAACAAAATGGATTTTGTCACGTTTTTTTTTTTTTTTTATTTAGTATCTTTACCATGTTAATTCATATCAGTGTCTGAGCCCTGATCGAACCGCCAAAAGGAAACGATAACGCCGGATACCTCGACGCGGTTCGACATTATGGATAACAAAACGGTTTTAATATCTACAGATTTTGCCGTGTTATCATAATATTATTGACTTCGTCTTGAAAAAATAAAATTGAAAATAACTATTGCAAAAACGTTGAAAAAAAAATATCAACATGCGCGCGTACAACATTATACGGTCCACGGGAGGAGGAAGGTCAAATGCTCTCCTCACTCTCCTCACAAGTACGCCACTAGGCCCGTCACACACCCTGCACGTCGAAATATTAAACGAAACGCCGAGACATTATTATCTCGCACGCACATTCGATACATTTATTATAAATACCGTTTTCGGGGACACGTCTTAAATTTATAATATTTGCAGTGTGTGTGCGCGCGTGTGTTTTGCCGAAAACGGATTTATAATATTATTTATACGAGTATTATGTAAATGTCTATTTTTTTTTTTGTCAAAACGAGATAATAATATTTTTATCGGCATTATATTACGCCGTTAAAAAATGTGAGCGATTTTCAAACCTTTCGCATGACCACCTATAATGTCGTTCAAAAATTTTTGCACGCATAAAATATTTTAGCATAATTTTTTTGACGTACACTTTTGTTTTCAACTTACTCGTACGCTCGTATAATTCCAAATAGTTCGCATACTGTTTTCGTCCGTACGCACAATTTAATAATTATTTATAGTAAAAAATATGAAAATCGTGAAGAGGTACATTTTAACTTTTTTTTTTTTTTGATACTAGAAATGTAGATCCGTTTTTTTTTGATTGGAAATTATATTAATCAAACGAGTTCACTGTCGATCCGTTGGCTGTAAATTGCAAACAACGTTCTAGTACTATACTATAAGTACTATACGAAAACAATATTACAATTTATCAGTGATGTTAATGAACGTGTTCCTAAAGTAGTGATTCCTTTTTAGAGAAACAAATAAAGGAATTAAATCCATTATTTTTTCAAGGAATAGGAACGTGAATTAATTACTTGTTTTTCGGAATGGGAACGTAAATATTGTAATTTCTTTTGTTCTTTTCTAAAATTTATTCTTAAACATATTTCACTTATCAAGTTTTGAATTTTTATATATGAGACTTCTAACAAATGTTTTGTTGGCATACGACTTGGTGTTCCAAAACAAATTGATGAATTGATTAGTGATACTCTCAAATTAAAAAATAAAATTTTTTTTTGAATCGCATAAGATATTAGTAAGGGACAAGTTTTTTTTATCAAGTAATGAGAAACGCAAATGGATTCCTTTTTTGCAATAAAATTGAGGATTGGGAATAAATTCCTTTTTAAAAGAAATATTAACAACATTGCAATTTTGAAACTCGATCCAGAAAAATCTGTAAGGGCAAAATTATTTCAAAATAAATATGTATTATTATATATAGTAAAAACAGTAATAAGTTCTTGATGATTATAAAATTGTAAATCAGTGCATGCTGTTTAAAAATAATATTTCAAATCTTGATTTAAACATATTGTGCTGAACACAAATGTACTTATGCCACTAAATTAAGTTAAAAAACTGTAAGGTAGTACTATGAAAAAAGGGAACACACTGCAGTAGCGTAATCAGAATTGTCAAAAGGGGATCCAACCAAAATAAATGATTTCATTGCACAACAGAATACACATTTTTAAATTATATATTTGTATATACTTATGTAATGATTAATTCTATGTTATGGTGAATCACTAAGACTACCATAAGCAAAAAAAATAAAAAAATAAAGCCATGTTATTAATTCAAACATACAATAGTAAATATTTAATACACGTTATATTAATAGAACATTTAACAAGAAAGACAAGGAGCAGAGCTCCGTCTCTAGAGTCGAATTTTCTATCCTACCTTTTCAACTTCTCACCTACAACAGCGGCTATACCCGCGCCCATTATCCTTGGACAGTTTTTTTATCATGGTATTAAACAAACCATTTTTCTTTATCAAAGTAGATAATTCACAGTTCTCGAATCTCGGTTCAGGGAAGTACAACTCTTCCAAAGACACATCCTAGACAAAAATTCGATTATAAGCACGTGATACTGAAAGCTGATACTCAACACACGAGAGATGGCGTTGTGCACACCGTACCTGCGCCGTTGCGAAATAATTATTTGTCAACGTTTTTACACGGAAAAACAGTTTTACACGAAACAAAATTATTCTTTTAATAATTATGATTGATCGACTATTTTTTTTTTTTTTTTATTTGTTATAATAAGGAGAAAATTGTTTTTGACATAGTTTTTTCCATTTTCCAATAACTTATGTCAATAGTTTTATATTCATAAGCAAAAAATACTTGAAATGTTTACAAGCTTTAATATTTAATGTTTTTAAATCTTTTTGTACCGGCTGAAAAATGAAAACGCTACGTCTAAGCTGAAGTTCTTCTTATTAAAATAAAAAAAAAAAAAATTGTTGATCTATCATAATTATTAACAAAATCGTTCTGTTACTCGACAACTATGTTTTTACGTTCAAATTACGGGCTTAATAATCCTCTTAATATACACACATTTTAATGTGAAAACGTTTCCAGATATTTAAAACCCTATACACATCGGATTTATAATATATTTCTTGTGAAAAATATGTAACCTGAGCATAAAAACGACCAGGGAAGGGGTTGAAAATTTAACCTATAAAAAGCACATTCTTGATACTTGCATAAACATATACTGAATTATGTTATTGTCCTGGCTTCATTTAAGGAGTCTGTAGCAGTGGCGTGCCGTCAAGGCAAGCTAGGTAAGCGGCGCATGTCCGGCCGAATAAGAACAAATTTATCATTTATTATGTTAAACGACAATGCGATTTATTTCTTAATATTAAAACTATTTTAAATTTTTTATCATTTAAAATATAATATAAATAATGGATTAATTCTGTTCAAAAAAATTTATCAGGTATTTTAGAAAGAAATTAAATTAATTTTATTTTTTATATAGGCAATATCTTTGTTAAAAGCGCTAGTATTTTAGATTGTCCGGCTCGTATCGTTATTATAGGAACGATCATGGTGTAAGGAGAAGGGCACACGTGCTCTTCTATCAATTTACTACAATTTTTGTTTATATATTTTATATTAATTTAATATATAATTTGTAGTTAATTTACTGAAAATATAAATAATATGCCCCTTTTAAAAAATGGATCTGCTGCTGACAGGAATGATCGGTTATGGTAGAATGGGATATCCACGTTTTTATATGGTAGTGGGAAATGTTGGGTCGAGAGCTTTTTGATATTTCTAAAAAATATAGTTCCAATATTTTGCGGTTGCATATCCAGAATATTGTCGTTATCAATATTCGTTTATTATATTGCACGGGTACATTGAAGTTATTAAAGTATCGATATTATTTTGTTATATTTTTTTAATATTAATATATTTGTGAAATAAGAAATATTAAATTATGATTTTCTTCAATAAATACTTTTTTTTTTTTAAGATTTAGATTAAATTTTTATATTCTAACGCTTATCCAATATTAAATATCACCGCTCGTCTGCACTGAGCTTGTAGGGATGTACAAAGCTTGTTGCGCCTTTTTCCCTCGACCACGCGGTTAAGTTAATATCTAAATCAAACCAAAATTGTGTCACATCATGTGTCTATAAGTATAAGTCTCATTTACGAGTTTGAGCACTTTTAGAGGGAGCTGCTAAAAGTATCCAAATGTATCACAGAAAAGACATTGTATAACTGACTGTAACAGATGCAATTCAGTGCAATAGTCTCTATTTTCGAGGGAAAATCTACGTTGAAATTCTTTGTTTTCATACATTTTTACATAATTTGCCGTAGGCACTTAAAACAATATATATGCAATATTCAATAATCACAGTGACAAAACAGACCGCCGTTTTTCCAATGCCAATACATCTGAAACTTCATTCACCGTGACCGATACACATTTAAGTAAACTGATAACAGCTTATTCGTTCAATCTGTTTTCCGAGTTTGTATTACTAAGATGTATTTAAAACTTTAAAATTACAGTTTATAAACAAAAAATTAAAATAGGACAATTTTTTTTAAACATTTATATGGTCCGAATGCGGGCCAAGATCCGGAATTCGCTCACTTGGTTACGTCACTGGAAGTTCTTCGTGTTAATATGTTGTGGGAACTTGGGTAACTCTACTCTTTATTGACTCTATTATAAATATAGATAGAGTTGTTCTTCGCGAAATAGTTTTTACAATAGTTGTACTATAGGGAGTACCACGTGCTTATATGTATTTTATTTTTTCGTTTAATGCATATTTTGCCCATATTTTATATATTTCATTATATTTTCGTGTATTAAATTATTATTGGCTATTTTTTTCGTTTTTTTACATGCATAAATATCCTAACTCTAATTATAAATAATTTAAAAATGTAGATATATGTACCATTTTAATGGTTGAATACAATATATAAGTTCGTTTCCAAAATGTATTATTAATTAAAATATTTGCGAGTGTTGACCTCCCACAATACGTTTTCGTTTTTCGTCACCTACGAAACAGCATTATGACTGGAGACTGAATTCGATTATACGACTATACCGAGACAGCGCAGCTTATTCGATTGCGTGGTCTTTTTTTGAAGAAGTTTGCATTCGAAAATAAATGTTACAAGGTTTTAAAGAATATTTAAGACAATACCACAATATTATTATGTTTTAACAATACAATATTTACATTTAAGGAAATTTCGTGTTAACCATAATATAAATAAATATGAAAACAAATTGCGATTTACATTAAGGTGAACTATTCAGAAGCCCGCAATGTTTCTAAGGAAAACGTTTATCATTCGTCTATATAACTAATTTGAAAATAATATATATTTTATATTTTACCAGAAACCATAGGAAAGTAAGAATTAAAATATGTTATTTTAGTTTAGTTTTTAGTTAAACCTTGTATTTGGTTATTTTAAATTTTGTATTTTATATTATTTTTTTACGCACTTTTAGAGCCCCGTGTTTACTGAAGGTATATTAAAATCAGGATACATAATTTATAATAATGTATAGTTACAGCGACGTAATTTGGAGTCTAGGTATTGGGTAGGTTTGGACAATTTTCGAAAATCCTGTAGAAAGCTTATTTTCAGGGGAATAGTGGTAAGGGTAAGAAATAAAAAAGATCATCGTGATAATTTAATATTGTCTTACAATATACAAGACAACGAATCGACAATTCGTAGATAATAATTAAAGGCACTAATGATAAAAAAAAAAAAATCGCAAAATTTATAACAAAAAATCTACTCTTCTCGGCTTCAAAGCCATTTCTTTCATTAATTGGATCTATTTTAATTTGGATCTATCGGTACGATTGAACCAGACATGACACGTCAAATCCATTAAATCGATTCTAATGAACGACATTTTTACTCATTAGGTAGGTGTGCAATGTTTTTTGTATAATATATAGTATTTTACTTCTCAACTATAAATAAACCACCACTGACAACGTGTTCCGAAAGTATGTTTTGATCCTCTTTAAAGTAGAGAGAACGCGGTCAGGCTTAGTTAACGTTGATACGGGTAATGTAAATAATACTTGAATAATAATAATAATAATAATAAAAAAAAAAGCCAATGAGGGAGGATTTGATACTCAGACCTCTTCCCCACGATTACGTCACTGCTCAAATACTGTTTTTTAGATTTGTACTTTTCAACCATTGAAATTGATTTATTAATTGATTTATATATCACAAATATTTATACGAACATAAAAGTTATTTTGAAGACATTTTATAACAAAGTAAAAAAAAAACAACTTATAATATTTGTATCACAATGTGTTTAAACGCATTCAAATCCGATCTTTTAATATGTACTTTTCTTTAATTTTCCTCGACTCTTGTCATAGAAACTCAAAATCCATTTTTGACCCACATCCCGTGGTCCAATCAATTTGCAAATTTGCACGCAGTAATATAATCGCAATGACATTATAGTTAAAAATAATCAGTTTTTTCTACATTCATTCACATTTTCAAAGGAGGCCGAAAAGTATATTACATATGGGGTTTTAATATGTGTGATCCATTTTTCGTACAACTTACTTAGATTATGACTAAAATGTTGAAAAAAAATTAAACAAATTTTAAAATCATTCTTTTCATAGAAAAATCAATGCTAAAAATCAAGGCTTAGTAAATTAAAAGAATTTTTTAACACAGTTTAGTTAAATTTTTTTTTAAAATTAGGTAAATTGATAATTAAGTTGAAATATATCATTAACGTAAGCAATGTAGTATAAAAAACTACATATTAGTGATAACTTTTATTCAAAATGTCCCAAAAATTCCTAAAATGTAAAAATAATCTAAAAAAAAAAAAATTATCACAATGACCTAACATAGACTAAAATATGGAGCATAAATTGGTAAAAAAATTACTTTTATACTTCATTGATCTTGAAGGCATAATAACAAAGCGTTCTTCTGTGGTTTCAAGGATATTCTCTCTCGAAGGCACCAACCACTGGTGAATAATTTCGTAAATAGATTTTTCGCCCTTCGGCTGTTTTCAGTGTAGAAGAAGATGTTCCCCCTGATACATTTTTTACCCCGGACATTTTCTTCTCATATTTTTTAAAAGTCTATTTTATTTATTGTATGAAACATGCGTCAATCGAAACTACAATGGAACTACTACAAAATAAAGCGGTTTAACATAATGACGATCTTCACCAATATTTGCTCCATATTCATGGAATGTATATACATAATAATACAAAGAGAACACCATTTTTGTTAATTATCAATTATGTTCTGTTTGGAAAATCGTTTAGCTATTATGTTTGTTTAAAATTATATTTTTTCAACATTAGTTTTTATTGTGTCAGATACGTTAAACAAGAATGCCATCTTAATAGTCTAAGTAATTAATTGATTAATAAACAATTTTAGATTTCAATGGTATCTATTATTATTATTATTATTATAATTTTTATATCATGTTATTGTTTGTTTCTTTGTTTTTATAAAACGTTTTGAATATTACTCATAACAGCATTATATTTATATTTAAAATACATTTTGAATATCTGTTTTTAGACATAATTAGACATTACAAAAAAAAAAAAAAAAATAGTAATAATAATTGATATTAAATAATAAACTTTAAAAAATACGGGTGGAGGGGGTGAAAAGGTCCGTAATTCCAATAAATTAGTGGCAACTACTTTTTCGCAAACACGCGAGTATAAAAGTTGGCATGTTTAATTAATATTAAGTCAAGTGATGAGAAATCATCAAGATTAATTTAAATATATTGTATTGAATATAATTATGTAATACGTTGAAAATTACTTGTTCCAAATTTATCAACTGGTAATTTATGTCAAATTTCGAATTTCTTTTAAAAAAATTGAATCCATAAACTCTAACTTATTATGTCGACATATACATTATGAATTTACATGTTTAGATATTGTTTTAATGCAAATTTACATCAATAGTTAAGATCAAATCGTTTAAAATATTACAAAATGTAAAAAAACGGTCCAACATAGAAGAATCAACCCTATGAAGCGATTGTTATTTACGAATGAACGCGCCACGTTTTTAGTCTATCATTTATAACATTGCAAACAACATTTTCTTCTGTAAAAAGATTAGTTTTTTACTTTTTAGTACGGTTTTTTTTTTTTTTTTTTTAGAAAATCGTTATTTTAATTGCATTACGACGACGTCGGTTGCGTCGCCGATCCCGTATACCCGCATGCACCCAGCGCGTAGAGCATTAAAAATCGCATTGTCAACCTGTGTACGTAATATTGTTGTTATTGTATCGACGATCGTTTTCAGTGGACAGATGGCGAAAACACCGGCGTGTAATATCGTACGCGTTCAACGTGAAGTTTTTAGAACAATTGTATCCGGTGTTTAACGAGAAAAACAAAATACTCGTAAAAAATCTCCGAAAAAATATAAACTCGACGCGACCGTTCGACCTCTGGGATTATATTATCTCGACTACTTTCGATACTATATGCCGTAAGTATATATGAACACGCAGCAGTCCTTATATATATAAAATATTTTTTTTATTTTTTATTTTTTTTTACTCTTATCGTATCTGTAAAACTCCAGCCCAAGCATATTCTCTCTCCGTGCGCGTATATATATATATTATATTATACTCATATAACTTTACGTTATTATTAAAGTACCTATTACATATATGCGTATACCTGTCCATAAGCACGAAATTATTATTATTTTTGTCCGTTATTATTATTATTGTAGTGATCGTTTTTTTGTTTTTTTTTTTTTTTTTTTTTATAGAACGAAATAAAAATTACACTCATTTTTGTACAATAGATTTTATACTGTTATTATTATATTATATATAATTTGTTTTCCCCGCCGTTGCAGATACTGCAATGGATTACCGTATAAACGAAAAACACAATAAAACCGAATTTTTAAATCTCATGACGACGTAAGTACAAATAATAAAATAAACCCGTACTCCCCCCCCCCCGCCCCTTCCACCGTATAAATATATGAAATACCATGGCCGAGTGCGTACGCACGGTACGGGGCGATTTTCATGGACGCCGCTGACGTTTTACAGGATCGCCGAGGAACTCGTGAAAACCGTCAACAGGCCGTATCTGTATCCCAGCGCGACATTTTCGATCTACAAGTATTTCAGCGGTCTGGGATCGAAATTGGAATCGATCAACAAACTCCCGTTACGAGTTAAGGGTTCCGTTACGATTTCGTATTAAAAATTATTTTCATATGTTATTTTATTGTCGTTTTTTTTTTTTCATGTCCTCCGTACAGCTGATCGACGAAAAGAGAACGGACTATCATTCGAAAGCGGAGAGAACGATGAAATCGAATCCGGAGGAAGTCACGAACGAAGACAGTGCGTATACAAATATGAATACAACGCCTGACCTAACGTCACCCTATTGTATTACGATGGGTATTCTATACGGAGATTTACGGAATGCATTAACACTGACTTGTGTTCCGTTCAGAGTTTTTCATTTCTTTAAAACTAAAAATTCAAAATTTTAATTTTAGACCTTTTTTTTTTACAAGAACTCAGACAGACAACCGTTTATTGAATTCACTAGGAGCCTATCGCAATGTTTGATATTTATTTCATCTTAATTTTAAGATTCGGAGTTTAGCGAGAAATGTATTGGTTTTACAATGATGTTTTTACTATTTTTTTTTATTTGTGAACAAATTATTTACCGGCAATCTTGCTCTGATTTTTAAATGTAATACCTTTCCCGAAAGGAAATTTTATCTGAGTGATACTTTAAATTAAAGGCCATGTTTTGATTTTTTTAAGCGGGTTTCAAAATAATTGCAAAAAACCTAGGTAAAACGAGAAAAATGACTTACTTTCTGTATGTATAAAAGAAATTTCATTCCAAATCATTTTTCGTTAACGATAGTTTACTGTTATGTACAGATATAGGTAAATTAAATTCCTTTTTGTATCTTACCTTCCAATCTTCTCACAACAATAATTGCCCACCCATCGTTCGAAGTATGAAAGTCTTTTTAAAATTAATAATACAAAATTTTAATTGCAAGAAAAATAAAGTTTACCAATAATATCTGAGTTGTTAATTTTTGTACATTTCTTATAATTTTAATTTAGGTTTCAATTTTACATTTAGAATTAATTCAAACAATATTTTACTATCGACATAACCGCCTTAATTTAAATTCCAAATATATTTTATGTCTAATATTATATTAAAAAAATTCACGCAATTCATGTGTAAAAAATTTTTAGTGAAAATCGGTAGCAAAATCAATTTAAACTGTACGCAAGTTCGTTAGTTACTCGTTAATTATGAAATTCTTGATTGAAATTGTGTTTTAAATTAACTTTCCAAAGTTTGAAAATGTCCTTATTATTTTTCTAACGACGGGATATCTGTTTACCCGCTTATAGAAACCAAGAAAATTAATATTCACGTTTGTTTTTCGTTTTAGGGAACAAATTCAAAACGTTCGTCGACACATTGTTCGAGGCCTGCGAAAAAGATCCGGATTTTACAGACGACGATGTTAGGGACGAAGTCATAACGATGATGTTTGCGGTAACGAAATTCAAAATATTAGCGTTATTATAGTATTACATTATATTATTATCATTATTATATGTTATATTGTCGGTACGCTATCCAAGCATTTCGGAGTTTCTGTTCGGACGTTAATTATGTGGGGGAACTATTTTAATGGATACGAATGGTTTTTGTTATAAATAATATAATTTCAATCCAATGGAATTTTATTTATAAAATGACGTATTTCGAGAGATACAGACAATTTGACAAAAAAAAAAAAAAAAAACAAAAAGGAAATATTTTAGGGTCGTATTCATAATCAATTCTTAAATCTATTCTTAAAAGACACTTGTAATGTTTATTGTTAAGTATTTATAAAGATCAAAGATGTGTATACAGAACTTCTACAGTTAATAAGTATTCGAAAAGATAAAGTATTTATTTTCTTATTGAAGTCTGGTAACAGTGTTCAAATCATAATATACGACTAATTCATAATGATAACAATTTTTGTTGTTTAAACGATTTATGATTACCGTTTACCGTGACGTTGTGCTCGTGCTATAGAAACTCACTAGAAACACGGGTACTATTGGGTACTGATACATCAATATTAAAAATGTCTAATATAATATAATGAATTTGATTTTAACAAACAAATTTCATTTATAATAATTGATTTTATCTTTGTACTCTCAATGTCCATAGTAGTTTGATAAATTTGGTAAAATTGTTTAAAGTAAGTTTAGACATTTATTTGACATATCTACTTATTGTTGGTTGGCTTATTTCAATTAAATTACCTGAAACTAACAGAAATAAAATTACAAAATTATTATTTATAATACATGATAATTATTAAAAGTAATTTTTAAGGTATGTTTAGTGTACATACTTTTTTTATAATGCTATACTTAAAGAGCATTCATTCCTTTTTTCTGCAAAGGTATTGTTGATGAATATTATTTAAGTTATAAGTATGTCTTGAGCAAATAAGGAATACTAAATTTTATCTTAAGAATCGACTATCAATACGACCTTTACTATTTCCAAATACTTAGTAAACATTTAAATTTGATTTATTTATTTTAGACGACAAGCAGGGTGAGTAAAAGTGAATAAAAATTGCATAATATTTTCTAAAAGATAATTATCGTAACACATTCCTGTTGATCTTAGAATTCATCATATAATTAGGGGTATATCAGTAGAAGTGGTGGCTTGAATGGGCATATCCTATGAAATAATTATTTCATAACCTAATTGGATGGGTGGGAGGGTGGATATATGTTTAGTTTTTTTTTCATAAGATATTTTAATGAAAAAAGTTGGACTACAGAAACGTCTAGTATTACCTAATGCCTTAACTACAACTTTTAATTCTTTTGAGCTCAGGTCGCATTACGTTTTTTATGATTTTACTAAAACTGTTTAAAAAAAAAGTAACTTCGTTTATATATGGTGAAGGAATTCCTTTTATAGTTGAAAATACTCTCTCTGTGGAAGGGAAGAATAGTTACTATTATAAAAGTCGACAAATAGGATAGCGTCAAGTCGATAGCTGGTTCAAAAAGTAAGAGGAGTTCTAAAAATTGCTTTAGAGGATTGTTCTATCTCGGAGGAGAGCCGGAGACAACGAGTGGAAGAACAATGGTGCGTATGTCAAGGAAAGATAGAAATCTGAAGCATTGAAAATCGTAATGAGAATAAACTTAGGAGAAAGAGGTTGAGAAGATGACTAAAAAACGTGATTGGATGCGATTGAAAATGATATGAGGACAGCCGGTACATACAAGTTGGAAGATCGGGCAAAATGGAAGTTTAGAACAAGGGAGGTCGATCCCGAATAATTCGATGGAAAAATCGAATTTGTATAGTTTTTTATTGATTTGAGACTTTTCAGTTTAATTTGCAATCGCATAATGATAATATAGGTACTAAAAATAAACACGAAATACTATATTTTAACATATTACTGGTTCATGAAAAAAAAAAATAATAATAATTATGGGCGTATTACGAAAGCTCAATAATTATATATTATTACAAGGTTTTTTTTTATTTGTGTTTTTCATATAAAGGGCAGCGATACGAACGCTACCACCGAATGTTTCTGTTTCCTGATGTTGGCCATCCACCAAGACGTACAGGTTTGACATTATACAAAATTCGCTCGCTGTAAATTATAATTATTACTGGGCGAACGCAAATGTGATGCAAAGATTCAATCCTTTCCTCGAAAGTTCTAATACAATTCTATCTACTCATTTTGGCGAGCCCTCTCCTCTCAAACAAACGAAATTCTTATTTGCGTTCGCTCGCTATAGACATAATAATGACGCGTTGATTAAAATGCGGTCGCGTATTCCCAGGACGAAGTTTACGACGAGTTATACAACGTGGTTGGTGACGATATTGAACGCAATTTGACGCCCGAAGACATGGCCAAGTTAGTGTACATGGAACAGGTACTCAAAGAGACGCTGAGAATGTATCCGACCATATCGGTATTCACGAGACAACTGTCCGAAGACATCAGAGTCAGTGAGTGGCCGTGGAACGGTGTTATCGATTCCGAATTGTAGATTACGTTATTTGATTATGTTTATTACTTTATTTTATTAAATCAGCGAACCACGTACTTCCGAAGGGCGCCAGTGTGACCATATCTCCCATGGTAACGCACCATTGCCCACGCCTGTATCCGAATCCCGGCGTATTCAATCCGGACAGATTTAGTGCCGAGAACGTGGCCAAACGACATAAGTACAGTTACATAGCGTTTAGCGGAGGCGCTAGAGGATGCATAGGTGAGCATTTAAATATAGCTTCTTCTTAGTTCATGTTTTTCTCCCGAAATCTTCACACAGATGTTGCGAGATTATTGAGCTGAAATATCGATAAAGGGCAAAGGACCGTCGACCGTTTACTTAAACCTATAGTTTTTAACCTTTTTGAATCCACGGCTCTTCTGATTTTGAAATCCGAATTAGTGGTTCCCTTACGAATAATAATAACAATAAAATTTAAAATGAGTAAATTTACTGTATTACTATATTTAATGTAAACTCCCTTGATATTAAACCACAATGCTCCTGGGAGCCGCGATGCACAGGTTAAAAACTATTGAATTATACCATGATTTGATTTAAGTTCTGGTCGCCATCGAACGATTAAAACATTTTTATCGCGTGGCATATGAATGTAAAAGTCACGCGTAAATGAATACTGTAATCCGTAAGCGCAACTATAGCGGTTAAATCGAGAACGCTATAGAATCGTGTCATAGTGGTACTGTGATAATAATAATTCTGGGTATAATTTAATGTGTAAACGACAGTAAAACAATTGTATCCATTCCGAGCGCTAGAAACACTTGTTTTCTATAAGCTGCAGTTTCATTTCAGCAGTCGTCGTGTCATATATTTAACTCGTCAAAACAAACATGATAATATCTTAAACCGTGGTTTTTACCGATCTCATTCCATTTTACTGATGCAGGTATGAAGTACGCGATGATATCGATGAAGCTGATGGTGTCCGAAGTGTTGCGCAACTTTAGCGTGCACACGGACATCAAACTGTCCGACGTCAAGATAAAGACGAACGACGCTTTCACGCGGAAAGTCGGAGGATATCCAATCACAATCCTGCCGAGGGACAGGAGGCCATCGTACGTGCGCAACCCTATTCAGCCCGCGGCAGGCACCGAATCACCGCAGAGTCCTACTGTTGTCCGGACTACGTCATCGCGATAATTATATGGCAGACAAATAAAATAAATTCAAAACAAAATACACATAGATATAATATTTTTTGTGATAGAGCTTTTCCACTGTTAAATCCGGAAGATTTTCGTACATAAAAAAAAAAAAAAAAAATGTATACTATTGATTTCTATCTCCATAAACGCAAAATTGATTGTACCGGACTAAATAAATACAAAATAAAATATATATATTTATGCACACGTATACAAATTATAATATATGGTACGTTGTACGATAAAGTAATTATTTTTCTTCTCGTTTTCAATCGCCCAATTTTGTAACTATCCATGCCCATGTGACATGGTTCATGCACTCCTATATTTGCTCCTTAGTTGGCCTTTTCCAATAAAAACTTCCACGTCCTCTTTTACGACGCTTATCGTCAAACCATCGCGACACAGTGGACGCCCAATCATTTTTAAATGTTTAATACTATGTCAAACACTCGTTTATTCTTTATTCTGTTTATTTTTTCCTGTCGGTTTGTTCTAATTTTTGTTCGTTTGAACGTTTTTCAAAAATATTATCAAACTTTCGACTTGTTTTTCGCTCATTTTATCCCTCACTCTATCATCTCTAGCTTAACAGACCTTTAAGAACCTTAGTTTTCATAAACTTTCTTCCTAATTGTCTCTGTCTCTGAATACATTCTTATCGGTCATAATATTTCCCTAGATCTACTTCAACTCCGTTCAACCGACGCTTTCTGGATTTCCCCCTTACTTGTGGTCAGTCTCCATTAAATTGCTACACTGGAATTCCGTTTTATTTTTCCGCAGGACATTTCGTGTCCGGACCATTGCAGTTTTATTTCGCTTAATAATTATATTTTTCGTTTGCATTATTATAACAACGCGTTTTGGTTTTGACATAATTGTAACTATATCACATATATATTCCGCATACCTAAATTTTTTTTCTTTATCGCTTAATTTTTCACCGCGTTTTCGCTACCCGGCTTTAAGGACGTTATATTCGCGTTTTAAGTTTAAATCTGCGTATAGTTATTGCGGGATATCCCGTGATTTCGAACACGGTCAGACCGAGGAGGGGGCGGACGTGATCGTTAATATTATTATTATTATTTTTCGGTCAGAATAAAAAGCGAATAGCCGCGCATATTTTTCATTTATATGAGTTATTAAGCGAATTAATAAAACGTCCGTCCGCGAAATAATTATAAACGCCACGCCACCGTGCCCGGAAACGTGATTAATGCGATCGAATCATAAACACGTATTCTCGTACTCGTGTATAATTATTATTTTATTTTATAATAATTTGCGCACAATTGAGTATGTAGTATAGGTCACAAAGTCCGCACGCGCACAGTGATATGTCAATCTTTTGTCTGGCATTTGACGCATGCCTACCTAAAATAATAAACGGACCGGAAACGACTGCCGCGAAAGCCGAACAGGGTCCGATGTTTCACGAGCTTTCGCGAAAATACGATATCTCGGAGCGTCTGCGTTTATTTACAAATTAAATTGATAACAAACCTAAAGTTTAGTAACTAACTGAGTTTAGCCTAACGAACATTGGCGCGATTGAATACAAACCCACGCGAGCAACTTTTTCATTAGAATGAAAATCGTACACTTGTTATGTCCCTAAAATCTGGACCGCGCTGACAAATATATTTTTTGTTTTATGAGTACAACGAAGAAGCTATTTGTTTTACAAAGATGTGTTTTTTTGAAAAGTGAAAACTCTCAAAGCTAATAAAAATGATTTGATGTTTGCACGCCGTAACTCAAAAGATGCGGCGTATCTGGTTGGCGGTATTTTATTTGAAACGGTTTATCGAAATTTTAAACAAATTTCACTCAAGGTCCTTTTTTTGTTTATTAGTTTTTTGTTGATTTCTGGGTTATCTTGGCAACAAGGAAAACGACACGACTAATACTTCGTCACACAGAACCGTTTTCCAATTTCGATGATTTATACTGCGATGAAACTAAATAACTCTACGAGTATGTAAACTACCTTCTCATCTTCTCGTCTACAAAAGTAATATATCCGTCAATAGTATCAGATCTTTTCAGTTTTTATAAAGTCTACGGCATGTGTCGTGGATATTGTATATTCTATAATATTATAAATGAAAATGTTTGTTTGGATGACGTTTGTTGTCCCTCGACAGCAAATCTTTGGAACGGATTTTGAAGAAATTCGGTACTCCTCTGTTCTTTATTAATACAAAAGATATGTTTTATCATAAAATTAAACCTCTAAAGGATGGCTAGTTCAGGTTTTTCGGTATTTTTAGAACGAAAATTGAATTATTTATGTTGATTTGCAGAATACTTTAATGACACAGAAGAAAAAAATACAGTTATTATTAATTAATTTTGTTGTCACGGGAAAGAAGTACTTTTTCTAAAATATTAATTACCCGGTAACAACGGATAACAGTGATAATTTCGGGATGGAAACTTGAAGTCACAGTTTTATATTTTGTTTTTGTAGCAAATATTTGATTCAAATATACCTATCATGGGCGTACTCATGGGGGGGGGGTCACGAAGTTTACCCCCCCCCCTTTTTTTCGGCCGTTTTTTTTTGCAATTAATTTTTTTTAAATTTGTAAAGGATGTGAAAATTCATTGTCGCATCCTATAATTTATATTTACAATAACAATATAAATATATTTTTTACACCAATAAATTGTTGATAAATTATTGAAAATAAAAAGTGCATTAAATTTTGTATTGTTATTTTTTTTATATTTTAATTATTAAAAATAATATTAAACGCAATAACTAGAGGGGTGTGCGCTGATAGTCCCTTAGATAAAAAAAAAAAAAAAAAAAAACAGAGATTTTTAAAACGAAAATTTTAACATGTCGCGTTAGAACTAAATATTTGTCCGCGTGAACCGCTGGCTATATTATATTAAAGGCTGAGAATAATACACTACCCTATTAAAAAAGAATACCATTTAGAAAAAAAAGACATCGGTAAAAAAAAAAAAAAGTGCGCCTGCAGATAGTCGTATTGAAAAGTGTCGTTAAAAATATCAGTCGGGTTAGCAAACGATTAGCAGAGCACGTAAAAGTCGAAATAATCGATCGTTATAAAATCTACACATAAATTCGTTATATTTTAACGTATAAGTACACCGTAAAAACGGCACGTTACACATTTTATTACGAATATTTTTATTTATATATTATCATTGTATATATAACTGTATAATTTATAGACGTTGTCGTTATTCGTCACTATTAACGGCAGGTTGGTGTTCGGGGGAGAAAAATAATGCTTTAATGTATTAATGGGATTAGCAACGGTATTTCAATTTAATTTTCTTCGATTTTGTAAAATTAGAAATGTTTTACATTCCAAAGGCATACCGATAAGACTTTTCCACTAACCTGTTGTTGACCTTTCCTCTGCAGGAGTACAATTAATTAGGAACACAATATTTTTTTGGCCTGCCCGCGGTGTTGGAACACCGTAGGGTGTACCTGTAGATATGCTCACGTGGCGCTGGAGTTGTTGGACGGCATCAGTCACAATGCAATTCAAATAATCTAACTTACGTATTTGACGCTTCGAAACCGTGTTCACTCGTAGAATGAGTATTTAGATATTTAGATTAGGAAATTAAAAAGTTGAATTATTGAAAAAATTAAATCAAATCACGGTCATTGCTCGTGCATACAGTATTGGCTCGGTAGAATAAAAAATACTCACCGAGCTTCCCCGTGATTTTCCGTTTCCACCGTCGCGGTCGTCCCTATCGCAGTTTAACCTTTGTCGCTCGGTAATATATTTGTATTAAATAGTACTTTCTTGCCCGTGAATACTAAATTAAAGAGAATTCCAAAATTACTAAAACCTCCATGTCCATTAGGGATAAGAGTTCAGAAGTTTAACTTCAGAGTGCACACAGACCCCTTAATCCGATTCTTCAAGTGATCTATTCGGCTGCCAGTGCACAGATAAACATACAGAAGACTATTTTTTTAATTTTTTTTTTTTTTATTATGAACAAGATCGTGACTTTTATGTCACCTATTACTTTATGACACTTGACTTTTCGAACACTTAATACATACATATAACCAGCATTTATTATTATTATTCCCACCGAAATATCTAATTGCACGAGTTATTATAATTGAATTGGAGTACAGGCCATAGAGTAGGTACGATAGTTGGCAATAATGGCCAAAGAAGAAAATAACCATGCATTAAAATGTCCAGAAGAAAATTTGGCAAAGTGCAAAAATTGAACATTTTTTTCATCGCCGTTATTATATACGATTATTAATATTTATTATTACCATTAATTTACGAGGGTAAATTTTCAAATCACAATAGGCAATAATAAAAAAATTTAAATTCAAATAATTAAATAAACCTCTATATATTTTCCTCCGGCTGTTTTTCCATCGAGCTAAAAATTTTTTTCGGGACATATTTCCATCCGGCCATTTCGAAACATATTACCATTTTTACTTGGCCGTTGTATCCATATACGGCCATTATTACCAGCTGTGTATGTTCGCCCTGCAACCACACCGAAAACAGGATAACCTAGCGATCGCAGTGTCTATTGCCGTTATTTTGTACATGTTTGGCACCCTCGCGAGTATTCCGGACATTATTCGCGCGTCCGAACTGGTAATTTTAGGTATAAATAATAAACTAAGACGCGATCCCCAAGGCGGCGGCAGCTGAAAGAAAAGTAATGTGGTTTTATTTTTCTCTCTTTTAATACGTCTGTTCTGTACACATAAATAAGAGGTAGGTGTATTATCTCGTTGGTTTTTCGTTACTAAATCGTTGTTTACGGTGACGGAAAATTCTTTACCCGTTACGTTAAAAGCCCAAGTTACACACCGTCGTGGCGGATAAAAGTCGAGCGGTCGGGGCAGAAAACGGTTCGGAATTTCGGGTTCATACGATAGTTATAAAATAATACGTCAATTTAGAATAAAAACCATTCAAAGGTAAACGTATATCCTTATTATTA